TCGTGCACAAATTGTACAAAAGTACCTGCTTTTATTTTCACAGGACTTGTGAATGTTGCAGAAGCTTCATAAATGATTGCTTCTTTGTATGATCCGCAAAAGCCTAAAGCGTTACATATTTCTATTATTTTTTTGGAGCCAAATTTTCTATGAAGAGTAACAGCTAAAGCCACATGCAGTGATGATATAAATGAACGAGGCCTTACTGCAGATATTATCGCATGAGCTATTGAGGCGCATTTCGTTTGATAATGATTTATAAAATCTGGTTTACCTCTTTTGTCATTTAAAATTATTTCTGATAAAAAAAATGATAGAGATTTTGGTATTGTCTCATGAACATGGTTAAACATTTTATCACTAGCCGGATACATTTTATTATCATAAACCTGCGTCCGAATGTGTCGTCGTAAAATTTCACCAGCAGCCTTTAAAATACGATATTCTTCTTCTTCATCATCTTTTGACCTCTGACTGTACCAGTTATCGGACAATATTTCATATTGTTGTTTTTTAAAACATATGATTGTATTAGATCCAAATTTACTGGAGAATACAATATTATCCTCATAATGGTTCATTAACCTCATTTTTATCGTTTTATCGTCAGGAATATGATCAATTGTCACAATACTTTTTAATTCTGCCAGTGAAAACTGGCAGTCATCATTTTCTTCAATATATTTGAAAATCTGCTCCATTGCTGCATCTACTTGTATTGTGACTGGATGAATTTTTTTATCCCTCTGGCTCTGTTTTACGGTAGTTTTCAAACGCATATAACAATCCGCGTGATACTTAGCGTCCTGAGCTACTAGATCTAACACACCTACAATTCTTTTATGGATATTGCGACAATATTCGCTTTTCTCTTCGCTTATCAAATTTAAAATAGTTTGCTTGAACTCAGAAGTAGTTACGTAGCTGATTTGCTGTCTTACCGATTTGGACTTTCTTCTTTCCTTCATTTCATCCGCTTCTTTTTCACATAAAAAGCACTTATTTTTCCAATCAAAATCAATAGAAGTAGCCATTCGCAGTTTTTTTTTAGGTGGAGAGCATGTTGATGTGGTGTTCTTTTTTTTAAATAAGCATTAATAGATCCTTTATTGATATATTTTTGTCTGCATACTGAATGCACGTAGACAAATTCGCAAGTATTTAAATACTGAGAAATTCCATCCCCTCTTTCCACAGAAGCAGCTTTCAGTGTTGGTATTCCTCTAGTGACTTTTATAATATCTCTTAGCTCAGAGCTTAATTCAGAGCTACATCCAATTTTGTCACAAATGAGGCAACCATTATTTATATTATTACTATTCGATGGTTCACCCATTTTGATACGAGGCTGTAACAACAAATATTACTAATATCAATAACTAACCTTTATATCACAATTAATTAAAATTTCAGATGTAAGGATTGGAAATTTCTTTTTTTTTAAACAAAAATTACATTCTAACTTTTAAGATCGATCTATTATAAAATATACTATTGAATATTCACAGTTGTTTTCAAAACCATGTAATATAAATAATAAACAAATACTTACTATTTATGCCACTATTTTCAAAGTTTGTAATACTCAGTAATTAACTTTTATCACACTCACTGCACAATAATATATTTATTTTTTAATTATTTTAAATTATTTTTGTTTCGGAGCAAACAACAACTACGTATCCAGCCTAGCAAGTTGCCACGTGTACTATTCTGTTAGGGCCCGCGTTAACAACACCCAACAGCTGCTGTTGCCCCCTCTATTCCCCTCCCCACCCTTCATCGTTATACCTGCAGTCCCTTGAGACCCAAGATGAAGTTTGTAATAGTTCTTCTTTTCAAAATCTAATTTTACACTAATATAAATTAAGGAAAACTCCAAAAAATTAATAATTATTTATAATAATTATTAAAAAATTAAGATCGCACAAAATATTTTTTTTAACATTTTTCTATATGCTATTAGAAACACATTGCCAAAGTTTATAAAAAGATTTATTGACTGGCCCTGGATTCCGAGGTATAAACCTTACGGCGCTCCACTATATGCATCGTGGGCGATTACTTATTGGTATGGCAATAAAAACGAGCGGCGAAAACCAGGACAAAGGACGAACCTGTTAAAGAATATACACATCCCTCAAAGGGGATTGGGTAATTTTGTATGGAGGTTGGCTTGATTTTTTTTTTCAGCGGCCACTGAACTAATTATGATTGTTTGATAGTACTATATATGTGAATTGTTCTTAGCAAAGAAGTAGTTCCATAACTAATATCGGAACCAAGATATTTGATCTTGAATTCTAACAAAAGTCATATGATATAAAAGCTCATTAAATTATCTCCTGAGATTATTATACATGTTTAGTATTGTGGTAATGCTTTCTAAAAGCTAACATTAATGAAAAAAAAATAAACAGATCAAAAACTTGATCTAGAGTACCTACCTGGGCCGCAGTAGCATTGGTGCTCGATGACGCTGGGAAGTTCTTTGAAAGTATTCTGGCTGGGCGTATCATCGAGCACCTGACGGAGCCGGACCCAAATCTGGCAGAGCACCAGTTCGGGTTCCGGCGAAACCGGTCCACGGTGGAGGTGGTGGCCCTTTTGAAGGGGTGGACCGAGGCGGCCACTCGTCGGGGAGAGATTGCTATTGCGGTGTAGCTAGACATCCGCAACGCCTTTAACAGTCTTCCCCCCAAAAGAATAACTGCCTTCATATTTGACAAAAAGTACAGTATACTTCTACTGCATGACAACGATACCAAGGTATCATACAAGGCTCTCATGATCTACACCGACAGCTCTTAAACCTCATCGGGCACGGGCAAGGGTGTTTTCTTTGAGGACGTCAATATATATATCGCTTTCCCCTTAAGCCCGTACAACACAGTTTTTCAAGCTGAATGTGGCAAGAGCGATCCTTTCAAGAAAGGTAACAGAACAGGAAATACGAATACTGTCCGAAAGCAAATCAGTCCCTTTTTTTTGTGTCTGGAAAAGACCTTACGCATCCTTCAACCACTGGGGGAGCGAGAAGAAGGTATGTGGGACTCCTCCCTGTCCTCTTCAGCCAGCCCTGGAGTTCGCTGATGTGAACAGGGCCCTACCTACGCCCTGAACAGGGCCACTAAAAACCAGACAATACTCCTGCACCGTCACCCGACACGCACTATGAGGACCGCGGTCCCCCTAGTGCATGCCGAGAGGGCGGGTGTGGTCGCGGAACCGTGCCATCACTGCGGCGCCCGCGGCGCTGCGACCTAATCGCGGCACTGGGAGGCGGAACCCTCTCGCTGAGGAGCATGGTAGAGGCCATGCTCAGTAGCGAGACGGTCAACTCTATATATATGCCAGTGTAGCTGTCCGGCACGGCGCAATGCGCCGTGCCGGACAGCTACACTGGCATATATATAGAGTTGACATGATCTTCACATACACGAGACCTAAGTGGAATATCCAAAGACTGATGTGATTGGCTGAGGCGGTCAAACCAGACAAAAAAGGGTCTGTTAAACCGTTATTAACTTAAATGGTATGTTTTAGACAACAATTCATACAAAAAAGCACGTAAGATTTAATGATATGAATTTACGTTAATTCTATTTTTAAAAAATCATATCTTGGCTTCGATGTACTTTACAGATATATGGCCATAACATTTTATTTTTAATTTTTTTAGTTCTATTCATTAAAAAATAAAGCATTCGTGGCCGCAGACTTTGAAAATCAAGCCACTTTTACCCAAACCCCTTTATTACCTTCATTGTTGTCTAAATCGGACAAAAATAATAATAACTGTTTAATAAAAACTAGTTATAGTAATTTGCATCGGAAAAGACTGTTATTTTTTTTTGTAAGGACTTAGAAAATATTGTTAGTATCTAGAAAGAATGTTTTATTTTTGTTTGGTTTTGTTTTGGGATTTTTATTCTGTTGATTATTTGATTAAGTTTACATTTAATGCTTCAACTACTTTATAAGAATAATTAGTGATAATCATTATGTGTCGGAAAAGACTGTTTTTTATGTTTCGTAAGGACTTACTAAGTTTAGAAATAAATAGATATTTATTTTTATACTTGTATGTATCTAGGAACTGTTTTGTTTAAGAAACTTTATTTTGTAATCACTTATACAAAATATTTCACTATTTCGTATTAATTCAAACATTGTATGTTTTGTTCTAATTCAGTTTATTGCGAAATTATAATTGTTTCTTATAAAATTTTATTTGTTTTTATTTACTAATACCCTAACTCGGAGAAAATGTTCAAGTTATACATAAATATAATACCAAAAACAATTCTTAGAATTGTTGTACTGTAAAATGTATATTTAAACTATACCAAAAAAGCTATATTCAAATAGTAGTAACCCAAAATATTTCTAAAATAACTACACAACTAAAAATAATATTTCATTTTGAACAGTTTGTTCGATGTTATACTGTATCAACTCAAAAAATGAGAATAACTTTAGTCCCCGTAATTTTTAAAATTATTGGTATATATATAATTTCTTGAAATTCTGTAATAAAACACATAAAGAATAAAACACATAAAAGATTTTTTTTATAATCTATAATAAAAAGTGAATAATCAGTTTTTCCTTGATTCTGAAAAACAATCAATTTTGAGTTACAACACTGTTGTAATATTAGTGCGATATGTTAATTTTAATTGATCATTTATTATAATTAATTGATCATATATTATAATTGATTTAATTGATCATGCACACATTTTTACGTTTACAGACATTGTAATGAAATTTCAAACATAATTTGTTCGAAACTGTCGCTAAAAACAATTGTGGTAAATTAGGTTATTATTTTCTATAATGACGGGGATAGTGGCTACCTTTTCTTTATTCTCTATATCGTAATATAATCTTACATAATTCTTAATACAGTTACACAAAACAAATCTTGCCCACTTATTATCCACATGTAAAACAAACTAAAATTATATTTTTTTTTAATATATAAAGCTACATACCTTCTATTGTATGTTCTACTGGATTTCCTATGTTTACTGGCAAAGTATAACTAGACTCCATCAGGGACAATAGTCCATCTACCAGATCTGATACGTAGCAGAACGAGCGGGTCTGCTTCCCGTTACCATACACCTGGAAATTTATTTAACATAAATTAATATAGATTTATGACACGATTCTCTAAACCTAAACTTAAATTTGACAACAGTGTATCCTTGTCATTCTCTATACGGAATGAAAAGGAGAGATTGATGTTAAATTTAGTTTTAAGTTTAGAGAATCACGCCAGAATCGACACCTTAGTAATGCTAATATTACTTAAAAACCGGCCAAGTGCGAGTCGGACTCACGCACCGAGGGTTCCGTACAAACCTGAATTGAAAAAAAAAACATGAAATAACTAAAAATTTACGGTTTTCGCAATTTTTCCTTTATCTGTACTATAAGACGTTACTTCGTACCAAATTTCAAGATTCTAAGTTCACGGGATGTACCCTGTAGGTTTTGATTACCGTGCGAGTTTCGAAAATTTGCGGCATAAACGGCTGTATCTTTTCATTGCTTTGGCTTAGAAGTTTGCTCTTTTCACTGCTCCAAGGGACAATAGACCTGATTATTGGATATGAATTTCAGTTTGATACCTCCACGCGTTTCTGAGAAAAACGGTCTTGACAGACGGACGGACGGAGAGACATTAAAGTGATCCTATAAGGGTTCCGTTTTTTCCTTTTGAGGTACGGAATGGGAAAATTAATTAATAAAATTAATTTTCCCATTGCTGGAGAAAATGCATTCCCTATGGTGTAAACAATTTCAGGAGAATTGACAGAACATGACATTGATTGGGTTCAGTGTGGATAGGGGGAGTGCTTTATAATAAAGAATATTAACCAATAATATAATACAGTAAAAGCTCCTTATTCACGTTTCCTATATTCGCGTTTTCACTATTCGCGGATTAAAAACTTACGACCAAATCCCCATATTCGCGGTAAACAATTTCGTTATTCGCGGATCTAATCAAAATATAAAGGATATGGTTACCTTTGTTAACGCATCGGCAGATGGAGTAATTATAAAATATATAAAAAAGACCTTATTTTAATTAGTCTACGGTATGTTGTCAAATGCTATCGCCGGTGCATAAGATGGTTTCGCCTTTTCTTTTGATATGAGACGCTGTTTGAGATAGCAAACAATCAGAATAATGTTTATGTAAAACAATCTTATTATTATATGCATAAAATATATTGTTATATGTATTAGTATCATATCATATGATAATATCACATATGTAAGTTAGGCGCTCCGCCATATCCGCTTTGCGTGGTTTACTCACTCCTCTTTTCATTCATTCCAAAAATTGTGATCAAGTAACTCGTCTCTTCCGCTGTGCTCTTAAATTATAATTTCGACAAAGATAAAATTAGTTTCGACGTGATAAATATCAGTTTTACCGTTTACATTAACAGTTCTTTAAACGCTTGCTTAAGCCTGACAAAAATTAATTTCAATTCATTGATTAGTTAAAAATATAGTTGTTTTTTGGTCGCTTTGGAACGTATCCCCTATAATTTCATATAAATTAGCACTCCATATTCACGGTTTCTGTATTCGCGGCATATTTCTGGAACGTATACCCCGCGAATAAGGAACTTTTACTGTATGCGCATGCCAATGTGAACGAGATTATAATGCGAGCATAGATGTCAAAGCTGCGTTCCACCTAGACAACGAATGCAGCTTTTCACTATGACATTTAAATTTTTACCAAAAAATTATGAAATAATGCCTATGTCTTTGATTCACATAGTATCAGTGAAGGTATGGAACGGAATATCTTGTAAGGTCATTGATCTTGTTGAAAATAGCGCGCGTTTAAACTGCCCGTACAAAGTGGCTATTTTTAACATTTTATAATAGATTAGTTTACTGTTTATAATAGTTACTTAACATCTAATAATATATATAAATGTAAAAAACATGCATATTCCCTTTTCACAAACAAAGCATGGACACAAAATAAATGTAAATGGATTATCTGTAAGAAGGATCTTGGCCAATCTCGGGAAATCTCAAAAAAATTTAAGGTTGAAATTCGCGTAACTGTGCGTTTTGTTCATTTCTATAGTATGTTTTGTAGTTATTATGTGGCATGAATGATCAATTACATGTGCTGTATTGCTAGTTTTATTGTATTATAGGTGTTAGTATGATTCATTGCCAATATTTACTTACAGTGATGGTTAAGTTTTGCAAAGCCTGCATAACAAAGTTTGAGACCACTCTGCCATCGGACACATGCATCCTTGGTCCGTACGTATTGAAGATTCTTGCCACTCTCACTGATACATTCTCTTGTTTGGCATATGAATAAGCTAAAGTTTCAGCCACTCTCTTTCCTTCATCGTAGCATGCTCGCGGTCCTGTTATGATACAGAAAAATCATTTCTAAAGAGTTTATTTTTTAATCTATTTAAAAAACAATTTTCAACTAACTTAATTAACAAGTTATAAATTACTTATATTTTATTTTCCAGCGTGTAACTGCTAGATGTTTAAGGGCGGGCGCTAGTGCGACTCCGCGTAGTAGGGCCGAAAACTAAACACAATTTTACTAGAAGAAAATCCATGATGACCAGGCAGCAGATGGGACTCGAAACCGCACCCTCTGCTGATGCACTGACCATTATGCTACTGCGGCCCTAATGGCCGTGTCGATCTTTTATAGTATTTCTTAGGCTGCAAGGCAGCGCCACGTCTGCGCATTGTAGGTAACCCACAATGTCAAATGAATACCTTTACAACTCATTTTATTAAATGAATAACTCATTTTTAACCATAGTGGCCTATCTTACCTAGGCCAGTATGGCACCTCAAATTTAGATCACAGACTAAAAACCGTAACAGTGGTTATATTGCCATCTAGTGAATATTAGTTGTATCACTTTTAGACCACTCTGGTTCTATCAAAATGATCAATTTGAACTAGAAAAAATCATAAACTCAATATTGTAAAAAAATGAGTTAGGCCACTATAACCATAGTGGCCTCACTCATGGCCTCAAATAGCAATTGTAGATATATTATAATTTTTTAAGCATTTAATAGCTAGATATAACTAGAAAAAAATCCACGCGGACCAGGCAGCAGACGGGACTCGAACCCGCACCCTTCACAATCCGGGCGAATGCACTGACCAATTATGCTACCGCGTCCCTCACGGACCGCGTCGAAATTCTTCTAGCCATTCTTAACCTGTAGGTTGTTAAGTGCATTCGCCCAGATTGCGAAGGGTGCGGGGTCGAGTCCCGTCTGCTGCCTGGTCCGCGTGGAATTTTTTCTAGTTATATTTTCTTTAGATTTAAACATCAAGCAGTTACATGCTTTAAAATAATAGAAATTATAACTAATTGCAAGATGTTTAAATCTAAAAAAAAAAGGTTTTAAATTTTCTATAAATGTGTCAGAAATGGTAAAACTAAAGGCATTTGTTTTACTTGAACAAATCATACTTAAAGAAACACAAACCTATGGGATTAACATGCCCCCAATATGACTCAGGCTGAGGATGCACCATTGGATCACCATAAACTTCTGAAGTGCTTGCTATTAATATTTTAGCACCAACCCGTCTTGCTAAACCTGAAAAGACATTATTAATTTTTAAATCATAAAGATGTGTCTGATGATGGAATTATAAAAGATGGTATTGGTATTACCTAACATATTGATTGTTCCTAATGTGTTAGTCTTGATTGTTTTAACAGGATTTTGCATGTAGTGTGGTGGACTAGCAGGACTAGCCAAGTGGTATATTTCATCTGCCTGGAAAAAATATTAAAAGCAGTTTTTCATGAGGTGATAAGACATGCAAATGTAAAAATTTTCTAGATAGGATTTTATTATTTTTATTGGCAATTTTTAACTTTTTTCTTTTATATGCAAAGTGTTTTAAATAAGATAAAAAAGTATTTTCATATCTGATCCAACTAACCAATCATTTTACATGAGAAATACTCAAAAAAATTATAGTTCATAAAATGGCAAACCATTGATGTAACTTATAAAATTTAATAATGTAAGCATATTGAGACATTATACCTCTACATATAGAGGATTAACAATATCATGATGAATCATTTCGAAGTTGCGATGTCCAAACCAATGTTCGACATTTCTCTTCCGACCCGTAAAAAAATTATCTACAACAATCACTTCATGGCCTTGTGTCATCAGAACATCCACAAGATGGGAGCCTACAAAGCCAGCTCCACCTGTCACCTGCAAATATTAGTTACAATTTAAAAAAAATTTATAGAATAAATATTCAGTTTTATATACTTATTTGGTAAAATAATCTTCAGTAAAATAACTGTGGTAAAATACAAATAGCTTTGACACTTGCTAATTTAGGGAAATTGTAAAATGTGAAATCTTCAATATAGTTGAAATAATCATGTAATTGTATGATAACTTATAGAGCCTGGGTTCCAAAACTGGGGGTAATTACCCCCTGGGGGGTAAATCAGCCATACTTTGGGGGTAACAAAGAACCTATTTGGTCAAATCTAAATAATAAGAAAATACAGTACGAAGCGCAGTAATGCACGTGGCATGCGGTCCTTCTTATTAGAGACGATGATGTAGCAGCCAAATTGGAATTTATTGGACTGCGCGAGAGTAGTACTTTCCAAGTAGAATTTCAAAAATTATGATATCAGCACATTTTGGATAAAATCATATGGCAAGTATCCGGTTATAGCTAACAGAGCTTTAAAAATGGTAATACCCTTTGCCACCACCTGCATGAGACAGTGGTTTTTCAACTTTAGTTATCACTATTAAAACAAAGGCCAGAAACCTTCTTGTGATACAGGACTTGAGATGAAAACTAAACCTAACATAAAAAACTTATAAATGCAAGACAATTTCCACCTTCACAATTATTATTATTAAAATATTAAAATAATAATAATTGTGAAGGTTGGAATTGTCTTGCATTTATAAGTTTTTTCATAGTTTAAATATGAATCAAGATAAAATTGTTATACTGTTCTGCAATTTGTGTATGTTTTTTTGTGGCCTGTTTTGATTAATAATAATAAATTTGTGATTAATAAACATATTAAAATTTGCTTGTATTGTTTGTTTTGATAACATTTTAAAGTAAAATCTGTTTTCCTAATAGGTTAGGGGTAAAAAACAGTATTGGAAAGGTTAGGATACACTGGTATAGGATATTAAAACCAAAGACAATTTACTAACATAGAGTTCATTGACATGACACTACCATCAGAGAGATAATGCAACAGAACACCACTGATAGTAAAATATATTTCATTTATGTAAACTACAGTCTAATCTAGTTCATTAAGGACTTTCTTCCATACACATTATACTTTTAAAATCACAAACAATATATTAAATGTCCAGTTATTTGGAAATACATAAACTTTGATAGCTTACCAATATTCTCTTTCTTTCCTTGTACCCTAAGTATTTCACCTCGGGGTATTTCTCAGGAATCCTCCCTTCTAAAATAGCAATTTTCTTTTCCAAATGTTCGATGCGAGCTTTGGCTTCTAGCAGCTCTCGCTTTGTACTATCAGTATTAACATCATTATTTATATCAGACTGCATTTTCGTAATTTTTACATGTTCTTTCTTTGGTTCTGGTTCAAATATACGTTCTTCGTTTTTTCCTAGTCTTTGGTAACCCGTAATTTTATCTGTATTGTCTTTTCTTAATATTAAAAGTACCAATACAACTGTAAACATTAAAGCAACATTAATGCCTCAAATTATGCATGAATCTAATTTTATGCAAAAATTCATCAGCACCTTTGTTCGAACACTAAACAATACTCTATTTATCTTATAAACATATGCAGAAAAGGAGTATTTTATAGCGAAATATTGAAAACAAAAGTACCTAGTACACAAAATTTATAAATCCAGAAATGTACTTACGTAAAGACAGAAACCCGATTACAGTGATCGTCTTTCTATATTTAAGGGATTGCCTTATCATTTCTAGAGTCTAAAAAGTGCAGTTTACATTTTTTGTTCTGTAATTTAAACCGACTTTTGACGATGAGCGTAATCACAACTTCTATTTTACGTGTTTTTATTCCAACCTCCAAGTATTATGTCAACGTCAGTGTCAAATTTACGTCAATTTAGAAGGCATAAACTTTTAGGAACGTACAGCCTAACTCAGTTATTTGAATGTTTTTTTGCAAAACCTAACCTGAAACATGTCATTTGATATCTGACAAAAAACCTGAGGAAGAACGTACCGTAATCTTTGGTCCATGGGAAGAACCTAAGATCACAGAGGAAGTACTAAGTATGTAGTGAATGAGTGGTTTTTGAGTAGATCTCGAGAAGATTTTTTTTAATAAGTAGGTTAGTACCTACTACAAAAATTTATTACGTAATAAAATAACACTCTGCTAGCGACAAAAGGCGGCTTTATCAAAGGAACGCGCGGTACTTGTCAAAGAAAAGCCGCGTTTTTGACGGGAACATTCGAGACTTTGGTTCACGCCGATATAAATGTTGCGCCTACAGGATTTGGAGTCATTCTGAATTGTAACTTGAAAGCAATACTACGTCGATACAAAGTTTATTATTAAATAGTCAAAATGAGTGCAGCAAAGCAATCTAAAATGTATCATTGTAATAACGATTGGGAAGAAGGATTTTTCTTTTGTGTGGTGAAGGATAAGTGCATTTGTCTTATTTGTCGTGCGTCAGTTGCAAAACCTGAGCGTGGTAACTTAGAGAGGCATCATTAAACGGTTCATAAAAACTATGAAAAGGATTTTCCGCCACAGAGTTAATTAAGAAACCGAAAAGTGATTTGATATCTTGTTTGAAGGAAGAACAAACCATGTTCACAAGACCAGCCAAACAATCAAAAGCTGCTACGATCGCGTCATTTAAAATATCTCATATCGTCGTTGCGACTTTAAGATTTCCCATGTGTGTAAATTCTTCAGTGCGAGATATTCAATAAAAACCGTCTACTGAAAAAAATATAAGGAAACTAAATATAACATAAAAAAAAGTGATAACTAGAGGGTTATATGATTTTAATTTTGCTCTTGTCATTTTAAATAAAAAAGGAAATTGTAGTAAAAAAATAAAAAACAATTCAATGTGACACATAAGAGGTTTGGGTTGCGGGTCAGGCCGTAAATTTTGCCACATTAGTTATAACAGAACTCTCCGCCACATTTTAAAAAAAAAGTACGGTAATTACATTTTTTTCAATAACAGAATCATATTTCCTCACAAATGGTGAATCGCGATCAATAAGTATATTTAAATATCTTCAAAACCTTAGAAATTTATAAAATATTTTGCTACAAAAAGCGACGAATTTTTCGTAAAATACGCTTATCCGTCCCGGTAGAGGTGCACTTTGAGCATCAGTAAAATCAAAAATAAAAATCTTTTTGATAGTCGGTTTGCTTTTACGCTATACAATAATAGTTAGCTAGCCACATTTTAAATATCGTTTCCTATTACCTAAGAAATTTCATAAATTTTCACTCATTTTCGAAAAACGTTAAAATCCATTCCTTTGCGCTACTTTTTATTGCGCAACTAATAAATGCCCATTTGGTTGTGTTTAAAAAATAGCAGTATTCAAGTCTGAGTAGTGGCAACACCGAACATACTTTGTCTATGGTCAATACGCTGTCAGCGGTCATATTTTTTTCAGTCCAACCAAAGACTATATATAATACCGACCGTCCATCGTTTGAAAGAAGGAAGTGTCATATTTTTTGCGGAGAGTGTTTTTTGATATATATATTTTTTTTAAATGAAATATATTTTATTGGAACAAAAATAGTGAATACAATAAATGTGTACGATAATAATTGCATTAGTTATAAAAACTGTGTCGCAACTATTATCGCCCACCTCTGAGAGTACATTGGAGTTCCTTACATATAACTAACTAACAATAAATATTATGAATGATTTAAATTTAATTTAACGTACTTAAATTTACAAATCATTTAAATGCATTATATGCGTGTGCGCATGGGTATGTGTGTGTGTGTGTGTGTGTGTGTGTGAGAGAGACAGTGTGAGTGTGATTGAGTGTGATTGTGGGTGTGCAGCTTAATGGAATAAGCTGAGGTTATCCTCCGTTACTATCTACTCAGAAAGTCTTCTATCTGCTCATAAGTAAGCGTATATAGCCAATTGTCAACCAAAGCTTTACATTCTCTTGAAGAAAGCCTGTAAATGTCAAGAACTCTATTTACCTTGTTATACAATTTTGGGCTCAGGAATCTATACTGTCGACTCACCACACCAAGGCTGCAGGACTCTAACTTGCAGACTCTATCAGACCGACGTACTTGTTTTGTCAGGTTAGGGTCATACACCAGGGTAGCTTGTTTATGCAGCACAGTATTTAACACAAAAGAGTGTCTAACCCTTGGTAAATTACAAATAGCGTACAAAGTATTTGTCGGGAAATAAAGGGGCTTACGGGACATAACTTTTAGTACAGCTCTTTGAGCTCTTTCCTATCGAAGAAAGAAACTCTTACCAGCATTGCCCCAAGCGGTAATGCAGTATGTTAAGATAGAGTATACTAAGGCAAAATAGACGACCTTTAGTATACTGAAATCGGCGGAAGCTCGTAAATTTCTGAACACAAAAATTAGTTTTCTAACCCTTGAGACGAGGGAATCGACTTGATTATTCCAAGACAAAGTGCTATCTATTAACACGCCAAGGTATTTTATGTTATGTGTTCTAGTAATATTAGGACAGTCACAGACATAGTCCATTGTCCTGTTACATCTGTGTGCAATTATTTCAAAGGAGGAATCCGGCTGGGATGCAACTCTGGGAGCAAAAGTAATATATTTAGTTTTCTGGGTTTTAAGGGTAAGCAAATTTGAATTTAGCCACTTCAGAAATATGTTCAGAGCAGCTTCCGCGCATGAACGCGCTTCCATCCAGCTAGTACCATGAGCTATAATAATACCAGTATCGTCTGCATAGGTGATAATTTTGGAGTTGTTTAATGACATCATACATAGTTCGTTAATGTACACCAAAAACAGGGTCGGCCCGAGGACACTACCCTGTGGAACGCCGAAAGTGCCTCGGTACCTCTTTACTAATAAAGTTGTCAATCTTGACAACTCGGGAACGTTCGTTTAGGTAGCTGATAAAAATATCAAGTGCCAGACCCCTGACCCCTACTCTTTCTAACTTGTTTAGCTGGATTGGATCAGAAACGGTGTCAAATGCTTTTAACATGTCGAGAGAGATGGCTACAGTTTTTAATTTTTTATTGTAATTTAACGCTACGTGGTTAGTCAACTCGAGCACCGCATCTTCAGTGCTTCTACCAGACCTAAAACCAAATTGATTTGCAGCCAAGATGTTATGTGCATTAAGAAAAGCGACGAGTCTCTTATTTATATTTTTTTCCAGCAATTTGGACAAAATAGTAAGCACGGATATAGGCCTAAAATTATTTACAGTGATATCTCCTCCCTTGTGTATCGGATGTACGAGTGCTTTTTTGAATACAGTAGGAAAACCGGATAAGAGGCAGAGATTAAAAACATGGCAAATAATAGCCACCAAAATGTGTCGAGCGGCTCTGATAAGTCCAGGTAAAATACCGTCCCAACCAATGGCGCTATCCAGCTTAAGCTCGAGTATCAGCCGGTCAATCTCCTGATTATCCGTAGTAAAAACAGCCATAGAATCGTATGCTGGATTTAATAAAGAATGTTGAAAGGTAGTTTCATTACGACTTGCCTCAATTTTTGATGCCAGATCTTTACCAACATAAGCAAAAAATGTATTTACTATGTCTACAGAGCGTGATGGATTTTCATTGACAAGTAAAAGTTTAAAAGCATTTGAAGATTTAACATTTAAATTTGTAATTTTTTTAATAAGTTTCCAGGTAGCTTTTGGATTTTTACTGTGCTTATTAAATTCGGTTCTTTCATACTCCCGTTTAATCTTTTTAAGTAAATTGTTGCAAAAGTTTCTGTAGCGTTTGTAAGTGATAAGATGGTGTTCGTTGTACGGGTTCTTTTTAGCTTTTTGATAAAGTTTATCCCGATTTCTTACACAACGTAATAGCCCTGAGGTTATCCAGGGCTTGAAAATCCTATTACTACTTGTAGCTTTTGAAGTATAAGTATTTTTTTCTACCACATCAGATAATATATTGACTAATGAATTAGCTGCTTCTGTGACATCATTAGAGTCAAGTACTGATGAAAAATCTGTTTTTTCAATAGTCACTACACAAGCCGAGATATCGGTGCGCAAGACAACCTTTGGATCCCTCGAAGCTTCAAACTTGATATTACAAAAAATTAACATTGGAGCATGGTCAGTGATAAATGAATCAAGTACAAGGGTAATGGCTGGTTTATTTGATTTGATGATTGCATGATCCAAACAGTTATTACCGCGCGTTGGTAGAAGATGATCCGGTAGCATGGCATGAGTTGCAACTGTATTAAGATATGTATCACAGCTAGGATCCACACTATTAAATGAAATATCTATATTTATATCTCCAGTAATGACAATAGATTGAAATTCTTTTAGAGAATTTAGGGTAAGATCGAGGCTGTTAATGAATCTATCTTTATTTCGAAACGAAGGAGGACGGTAGATTGCTAAAAGCGCAAGCTCATTATGAACTTTGAGAAGAATACAATAGGCATCAGTAACAGCCGGGATTTCCACTGTAAACCTTAAATTTTGTCTAACATATACCACAACTCCATCATTTTGGTTGGTGGACTCCGACTTGAAAAAATCGAAATCAGAAATGTTTGGGATAAAGGGACATTTGCTCAGCCAGCATTCAGATAACACAATAACGTCTGTTTGAACTTTGACTCGACCTAATATTATAAGAAGATTATTGAAATTAATAGGACTGCCGATACTTCTAATATTCATATGAAAGATTTTAAATGCTTCAGTTGTATTGTGTAAGTATGAAGCACATTGTTCAGGAAGACAAAAGAATGATTTAGAGACACAAAATTCATCAATATCGTCAACAAGGATTGAATTATTATTCATATTGAAAATTATTAATAGTCATTTGGTCC